AGCCTGAGGCCCTGGGTTTGATCCCCAGTCACTCACACACACACACACACACCCACCCCTTTCTGGCTACATGAAGACAACACAGAAAATGACAAAGAGCTTTATTTCAGGTCACTGTTCTGGTTTCATCTAGCTATTGCTAATAACCTAATGAAGTGTTTGTATCTTGATTCCTGAACTGTTCAACATGTCAACAGTCAGAAACACAGCAGCTAAAGGAGTAAGCAAGTAGCTTTTCTTTAAAGGCCAGAGGGCACACCAGGAGGGCAGCCTACCTGTCTGCTTTGGAGTCTCCCTAGTCCCAAGGGAAGAAGCCAGGCAGGAGGCTGACCCAGCACCCTCATCTGCAGCTTTGTCTTCCCTGGATCTCTCCAGGGGAGTGAGGAAAGAAAATTTTGTTTTCCTATTCTTCAAAATGGAAGGCCTTCAAATCAACCGAAGTTTGCAAAACAAAAGACTTGAAAAGCAACACTGGGAGCACAACTGTCTCCCACAGGTGTTTGTTTCCACAGCTCACTGTCATTTCCCTTGACCGACTGTCAAGATTTCTTTCATCTTTCACAATGTTAGAATGAGGAAGAATTGGGCCAGGGATTTAGCTCAGTGGTGCCGCCGCCTGCCTTGCAAGCACAAGGCCCTGAGTTTGATCGATCCCCGGTACCAAAAAAAACCCGAAAAATTAGTGGAACTAGAACAGGGAAAAATCTACCCCTGTGGAATCTAAGCCTCACACATCACTCCAGTGAGAACAATACCACCACCAGCACCTCCTGGCCCGCACTCTACCCACTCCCAGTCCCTGTCCACACCCTAGGGATTGCAGTCCCCAGGGGCCAAGACCATGAAACAGGGCCCTGAAGACTTATGACTGGAGCTGCTGGGGCTCCTCAGGGGGCAGCCGGGGCTGGCACTGTGGGCACCACCAGGTGAGCCTCTGGAGGCCACCAGGGGGCCCAAAGGCCTCCTTTAGGACCTGATGCCCCGCTGGACACTGCTCCTTCTGGTAGACCTGTGTGCGCCGCTGCTGGCCCTGGAACTTGCCCCGAAGCCAGTCTGTACTGAACTCTACCACGTGCTCCACAAGGGTCTCCAGACATGAGGCACTCAGAAGCGAGCCGAGAGACAGGGGGTGGATCCGGGCTTTGTACAAGGCTTCATTCTTGATGATGTTCCCTGAAACAAAGCCGAGAGAGGATGAGAAAGGAAAACCCACACTCGGCATGATGAAACCACAAAAAGTCAACAGCAAACTGGGGCTGTCGAGCCAGCAGCAGGATACCAGGGAGGCTCCAGCTCGGTCACACACTGGGGCTCCTGGGCAGGGCAGCAGGGTCAGAGCCCATTCTCTGTAAGGTGGCCCTGAAGGGCGCTGTGAGGATGAAATGAACGACCACCCACACGTGGCTCAGGTCATGGCAAAGAGAACGTGCAGGATTCTGGTGCCCGACTTCCCGGACTGGAACCCCGACTGGGCCCCAATCCTATCACACAGCCCTGGCCAGTCCCTCAGCTTCTTCAGGCTCCAGCAACCTCAGCTGTAAGGCAGGGATCACTTTGGTTTCTGTGAGTAGTAAGCGGGAATTCACCAAAACATGCTGCGCAGTGGTGGTAGAGAGAACTCAATATGTACTAACTGCTATGTAAAGCCAGGCTCGCTGCCTGGAACACACAGTTTAGCCTACACCTGCCGCACTTCCGTGGGACAGCCTGGATCCCTTCCTCGGACTCCATGCTCTCCAAAACGTCCCTGCAGTGCTCTGTAACCTTTCCCGGCACTTTCACAGTCTACCCTGGCTGCAGAGGACTGGAAGGCCTGCTGTGATTGCCCAGGGACCTCCCGCAGGACAGCAGGCGAGGGGCCGGAGGGCGAGCATTCGCATCGTTGCTGGGGACAGATGAATGAAATGACTGCTCTTTGCAAGAATCCCACGAACCCACTCCCCGTTACAAAATTTCTCTGCAAAATCCAAAGGCAGGCTGCCTGGACTCAGTGGGGCAGCAGTTCTGCACAGATTCTTCCTCTGAATTAAGGGGGGCTAACAAGCGCCCATCCTGCGAACGGCGGAGAGGCCCTGGGAGCCGGACACGCCAGTTGCGACTGACGCTGGCTGCTCTGCCAATGTCACTGTGCTCTCAGCACCCACTGCTCAGAAGCCTCTCACTCCTCCAGCACAGGGACTCGGTGGTTCTCAGGTGAAAACGCACAGCCCACGCTGGAGGGCCAGGCCTCGCAGTACCAGGCCCTCAGGGGCAGCTACGCCTGCAGCAAATCAGTCTTGCACATGGAGGGGATTTTGTCCTTACTGGCTTACCCTACTGCTTCAGCTACCAATTAGGATGCACATATTGCTATGTTGCAGTAAAAACAATGGCTTTTTCTCAGTTCTGGGGATTGAACTCAGAGCCTCTGCAATGAGCTATGCATCCTCAGCCCTTCTTTATTATTTTGAGACAGGGTCTCACTAAGTCACTTAGTTGCCCAGGTTAGGCTTGAGCTTGCAATCCTCCTGCCTCAGCCTACCAAACTGAAGGGATTCCAGGTGTGTACCACCATGCCCAGTTTCACACCTGGCTGCACCCAGAGCTTTTAGAAGCCTAAGGTAGGCCTGGTGCCTGTCTGTGTGTTCACAGCAGCATCCATTAACAAAGCTGCACCTCTGTCAGTGAGTGGCAGGACTCCACTTCTCGGGAGACTCTGGCTCTGAACCTCCTATGTGCCAGGCACTGCAGCAGGCGGCTAAGAATACCAGCGTGTGTCATCCACCATGTCGCCTACCCCATGGACAGGGGTCCTGCTCGAGGGCAGCTGTCAGGTTTCCAATGGAAGTGGTAGGAAATCTGAAGCTGAGAGTAAGTTAGAAAGTGCCTAACTTAACTCAGTTTAAAAGCAAAGGAAGTAGTTGGGCATGGTGGTGCACACCTATAATCCCAGCTCCTCAGGAGGCTGAGGCAGGAGGATCACAAATGAAAGGCCAGCCTGGGCAACTCAGTGAGACCCTGCCTCCAAAATAAAATGTTGGGGATATACCTTAGTATTCCCTGGGCTCAATCCCCCATACCACTAAATAAGTAAATAGATAAATTTTTTTTAAAAGGGAAGCCAAAGGGACTAGGTGGCAACCTCAAGACCAGCTGCACACGGGGCAGGGGCAGGGGCAGGGGCAGGGGCAGGTCCTCAGGTCGAGATTCCCAGACAAGTGAGTTTACCATCAGCAGCTCTGCTGGGCTCATGCCTCCCACTGCTCCTACCTAACCCTGAGAAGTATCGCTGGTCCAGCAGCGTGTAGCACACAGGCTGCGGCCGACCCAGAGCCTCCAAAGCCTGTCCTCGGTGGAACTCTTCAGATAAGATGTCACGGCAGGGTTCAATCGCTGGGGCAAGGCTCCAAGACATCTGACAGCTATAAAAGGCCAGGAATCCACCGCCACCAAAGTGCAGGACCAGCCTGGGGAGGAAGGAGAGATTATAGAGATGTACAGCTGTCACCAGGCAGAGCACACGCACATACAGCTGGCCAGGTCCTGGGGACACACAGCTCCCATTCACACCCAGGTTGTGCCAGGTCCAGCTCCAGCAGTGCCTCTCTGATCACCCTGAGAAGGAAGTTAAGGTCCCCAAGAGAAGAGGGATGGGCTTTGTCAGAATCAAAAACACCTCAGGGCTAAGTAGAGCAACCAAAGGAAAGCACACAGTACTTATGTGACTCACTCCTCTCCCGGACTGCAGCACTGCATGTTTATAGACGAACACTGGGCAAGCAAAGAAGTCCAATGTTCAGGGTGCGAGGCTATGTGAACGAACAGAGATGTGGGGCCGCTGGTGCGGAACAGAAACCGTGTGAAGGACACAGCACCTGGGCGGGGCTAGGATAACTCGGAAGACACGCACGCCTACGCCCCAGCCAGCGACGCCAAGGACAGCAGAAAGCTTAACAGTGATGGGGGAATAATGGCTTACTTGGCGAGCGCCGCTAACCTGACAGGACTGCCTCCACATCTGGAGGAGAAGCCAGGGCCCTGGGCCCACAGAGCCCGGGGGCCGGCGGGACTTCGGCAGACTCAGCAACGGGGTGGACATGACGGATGGAAGAGAGGCAGCGAGCGGAGAGTTAACAGACTCGCCGGAGAGGTGCGAGAGTGGGCCAAGGAGCCTGAATTTGATGGCATTAAGAAATGCCATTTAGGGCCAGGGATTTAGTTCAGTGGTTTCACTGCCTGCTGCGCAAGTGCCAAGGACCCGAGTTCGATCCCCGGTACCAAAAAAAAAGTGCCATTTGACCCCTCCATTTCCCTTCTAGGCCTCTTCCAGAAGGAGTGAAAGACATCACATTACAATGATACTAATTTAAATATTTGATGGTTATTCAATAGTAGATAATATACAAGCTTAAAGATAATTACCAGCAGAATGAAGGTGAAAAACAAGGCATCCAAATTAGCAGGGGTAGGAAAAAGAAGAAATTTAATAAATCCAACTGAAGTAAGAAAAAGAAAGTACAATAGGGAACAAAACCCCAATGCCAGTGGCTACATTTCAGAACAGAGAGTCTACATTTGAGTCAAAGAGAAACAAAGGCCAGCAAATTCTCGGTTTTTACCTAAAATAAAGGAAAACTTAAGTGTAAAAACATGCTGCAGAGCGGGGATTTTAGCTCAGTGGTTGCACTACCTGCCTCGCAAGCACAAGGTCCTGAGTTCCATTCCCGGTATCAAAAAAAAAAAATGCTGCAAACTAAGCATAAACACTCATCCCTACCAGGACCTGCAGGACACGGAAACAGCAGGAGAGGCCTACCGGGCGGGTTCACACAGGACAGAAGAGCTTGGGACCATGGGGAGGAGCTCACCAACCCACCACACTCTGGGGGCCGCCAAAGCTCCTCTTCCGGAGACTGACACAGTAAGTAAACGAAAAGCAAGCAAAGAGAGAACTGCTCTGTTCCTGCCGTTCACGGAATGTTCTGGTCTTAATGATCACACAGTCTTCACTGAGGTAAAATATGACCAGAGGCCAACGCTGTGTTTGGCTGCAAATCCTAATAAACACCAAACGGAGAAAATGTACAGGCTGTGGTCTCTGACTAGAGCCCAGGAACAGTTTTAAAACTAACAAAAAAATACCGTAAATGCCAGAACACTTGGATGGTAGGCAATGACTCCATGCAGAAAAAGGACATTAAGCTAGTAGTGTTATTTATACTGAAAGACCAGAGCAGATATACTCAGGGGAGCCTCATACAGAAACAAGAGGGGCCGCAAACTCTAAAATGGGGAAAATGAGAAATGAAACATAGTGTAACAAGAAGAGATTTAAAAATCAGGGAATGATGCCGTGGGCAGGACAGCTCCTCCAGCTGGTGACCATCCAGAACTCAGAGAGGGCTTCCTGGGGACTCTGAGAAGGCCACTGCATCACGAGGACATGCGTTTAACCCTAGAGCTTGCACACTGAGCTACATCCCTAGCCTCTTTTTTAAGAAATATTTTTTGAGACAGGGTCTCGATAAATTGCTAAATTGCCCAGGCTGGGCTTGAATTTATAGTCTTCCTGTCTCAGCCTCTCAGAGTGCTGGGATTACAGGAATGCACCGCCATGCCTAGATAGAACATCTAAAATTGACTGTCCCTCCTCCTCTGGCTATTTGCTTGGGTGAGTATAAAGCTTAGAACTGCAGTCATCTCTTGCTGCTGATCGAAGGACAAAACTGAAGTGTGGGAGAGCACAAAGCCAGGAGTCCCAGGATAGGAAGCCAGAGCCTGGGAGACCCCAACCCAAAGCCACCTTGTCCAACCTTCAGGGAGGTGAGCCCTCGGCCCCTGGGGTCTGCACAGCCAGGCATCGCGGGCCCTACACCCTCCTTAAGAAATGGAGCTCCAAACGCTTCCTCCAGAAAGAAAGAAGACACTACTTAGGAAACAGAGAAGTCATGTGACTCTGGGGTCCAAGGGGCCTATTTAGTAAAAGGAAAAATTCATGAGTGACCAAGAAAAAGCTCTGACCATTGACTATGAGAAAATTAAAAATCTCAAAGTGCCAAACACAGAGGTTATCAGACTTAATGTCCAAAAGCTTCAACGCACTGATTAAAAGTCCCGAGTGGCCCAGTGCTGGTGAGAACTCAGGTGAGCCAGTGCTTTGAGCTTCAGAATATTCTCTCTGGGAATTAATCCCAAGGAAATAACCCTCAATACAGAGCTTTATGCACAAAGACTGTGTTCTCAACACCCATGGATTAAAAAGTAGGCAAAGTCTCTGTCCTTAAAATCAGAGTGCACAAGACATGAAATGCGGTTCAAGGTTCTCTACCTCACAGTGCCACCTGGGATGGACTCACCCCTCTCTGCGCTCCGCTGAGAGTTTCCACTCCGTCTCAGGTGTAGCTAGTCTGCCTATTATGGGTGAGCAGCTCAGCAGGCCAGACACCCCAGTGCGACCCCCAGCTCAGTGCCACACCCGCTCACAGTGGGGCGTCACAAGACCCCAGCTGCCGCTGCTCTACCTGGGCATGGGATCCCTCCAGTCTCCTCTCTTGTTGGGTTTCTTCGCTCTGGAGAAATCGTTCACCCAGACGCTGCCAAACAAACCAAAGTGGACCTGCAGCCACCTGGGGGCCCCTGCTGTAAGGCTGTCCCCCACCAGCCCATCAGGACCACCAGGGCCCCTGGGAAGCAGCCCTGCGGACAGGGAGGATCCGTCACAGGTATTCTGTGCATTGGGCTCTGGCGCTGGGCCCACGGTTGCTTCTCTGCGAGCTCGTTTCTGCAGAGGTTCTGGTCGGGGGCTGCTGCCAGGGGCCCCGACTTCTTCATCTGTATCCACATCTGCATCAAATCTAAGGAACAATTTCTTTCCATGCACCTAGGGGAAAACGAACACAAGGGTAAGCCAGCCAGACCCACATGGGCTGAGGGCTGTGCAGATAGGCACCCGAATGCCCCTTCACGTGGCCCAGAGGGTCCCCAGACTGAGGGTTTGGGACTGGCCTTCGCTCATCTGCTCCAGTGGGACTTGGTACACAGCTGTGCAGTGACTAGAAGCAACTGGAGGAACTCAATTAGAGGAGACCTGCGCCAGACAGATGCCCACCCTCGAGAACCTGGGCAGCTGTTCCCAGTGTTTTCAGAGATCAGCCAAGAAATAACTGTGAGCTGCCATTCACTTATTCAACTCATACTACATTTTCTATGCTAACAGGAACAGCAAGAGCGCAAAATGACTTCAGCTAAAGACAACACATTTCAAGATCCAGCTGCCCGCCCATCCCTCCAGAAAACCGGGCTTGACAGCAACAATAGGCACACGGGAATTCACAATCAAACACAACCTCTGTGCAGTGACACTCTGAGTGCCAGCTCTGACAGGTGCACTGACACACACTGGGGGTCCAGTAACAGGGCCCTAGACCTGCCTCTGCAGGTCCTACCCTGGAGGGTGGGAGATCAGGGCCCCTAACTTGAGTTCCCTAGGCCTCAGTTTCCAAACGTCCCAACTATGGTCAAGTCTGAGACCTCGCTCAGTCTTAACAGAGAATGGCTTTATACCTACGGAGCGGAGCAGAGGGGATGCAGGGCAGGTGGAAGAGGACTGGCATCAGCTGAGTGCTGACCATGAGTCCAGCATGATCTACTTCCCACAGAGCTTTCCGCAGGCAGGTAGCTTACTGTACAAAGACTCTACAGCTAAGCAACTGCACACAGCGAAGCAGCAGCCAAGTGCACCGAGTCAGTCTGCAGACATTCACCCCAAGCCTCCCGCATTCTGGGTGCTATGAGAAGCACTGGCAACACAAGCTAGCCGAGGACGTGGCCACTTGAAGGACAAAGTCAGTAGTGAGGATGCATGGAGGGACCGAGGGGCATCCGGGAAGCACAGGATAAGCCAGCTGGGTGGCTCCTCAGAGGAAGGGGTGAGAATCCAGAGATGGATTAGGAACTGCCACAGAAAACTGAGGGGCAGGGGTGAGGAGACAAAGGCAGACCCTGCCCACGGTGGGAGCAGCATGTGGCCACCATAGCCAAGGAGTACCTGGGCTGCCAGTGGCTGGGACAATGGAAGTCAGACCTGGGCTGGGCACAGAGGCTAGAAAAGCAGGCAGGCTCAGGCCAGAGAGCCCCGAGAGCCCCTGGAAGGATGAAGATGCCTGGCTTTGAACTCAGATCCACGGTGCTCTTTCCTGGCTTCCCCACTGGCCTGAGATCAAACGTGGATTTTGGCCCAAGGTGCCCATGAGGCACAGCTGGGGTAATCAGGATCCCTGCAGACTCTGAATGGGGTCCCTGGCTCACGATCTCCACCGTGATGCTCACTTCCGGCTGGGAAACATCAGACTGAAGGACCAGGAGCTGCATGGAGTCCCAGCGTGGCTGTCCTGGGCTCAGGGAAAGGACAGCATGAGACGTCTTGGGACAGATTCCAGGGGCGATACAGATGTGCTGAGTGGCAGGGCAGCCCATCGCCAGGGCGTGCTGAACTCACCTGTGTGTCCTGAAGCCACAGAGACTGCAGGCTGGCAGGACACAGCTTTTTACTGCTGCCCCCTGTCCTGACCACCTGCTGGCCCATGAAGGCAGAGACCAGATGGTGAAACTTCCTCACAGACGGCCCTTCTGGCATCCCTGTGGAGAAACCGGCAAAGGAGGCTACTACTTACCCCTTTCTGATGGTGCCAAGCTCCAAGCAGCCATTTTTTGCACCAACTTTAAGAGTACATATGGCCACTCCGGGTGTGGTGACATATACCTGTAATCTCAGTTACGCAAAGGCTGAGGCAGGAGGATCAAGAGTTTAGCAAGACCCTGTCTCAAAATAAAAAGGGCTGGGGATGTAGCTCACTGGTGGGGCAACCCTGGGTCTCAGCCCTCCCACCACATTAAAAGAGAAAAGTATATATGGCCACAGAGAGCGGCAGTGGCAGCAGCTACTACAGGTGTGGGCCAGCCTCAAGAGAATGCATCCTGTCCAGCCCTGCCGCCTTCATCCATGCTGCAAACACCTACTGAGCACCAACAGTGTACCAGGTGTCACAAGGCCATTGCCCGCCTTGGCAACCTCCTTGGGAGGTGGCCCTTGTTAGGTCTGGCCTGGACTGTGGACTCCTCCAGGCTTTCTCTTTTTGGTACCGAGGATCGAACTCGGGACCTTGCGCTTGAGAGGCAGGCGAAGAAACCACTGAGCTAAATCCCCAGCCCCTCCTCCAGGTTTTCTGACCTCCCTCCTCGAAGCACTTACTGTACCCCTCGGGCCTGAATCCCCAGGACCACCCCTTGGGTGGGGGAGACGTGCGTGAGACTGCAGAGCTCAGACCCTGCCCAGTGCAGACCCCAGCCAGGCCGGTTCCGGGTAGGAAGGGCAGGTCCAGCTTATCCACAATTATCCCCGACCACGCGGACACAGCGGGCCCCTTTCAGTGCCTCGCTGGGCGAACCGCGCCCCTTTCCGCCCTGCCCCGTCACCCAGGCGCACTGAGAGCCCCGTGTGAGGAGCTCTGGGTGGGCTGCACCCCCACTTCTCGGGGCGGGCCTCCCTGCCTCACCCAGGACACCACTGAACCGCCGGCTTCCTCAGCAGCCAAGACTGAGTCCCGGTGAGGAGGGACCCACCTGGCAGGCGGGAGCTATGTTACTCCGGTGGCCGAACAACACGTTGCACAACGCTGGCGGCCCGCCACGCTCCGCAGGGCACGAATCTCGGCTGCTGCCCAGTTTCCTTCGGGCACAACCCGGCGAGGTCGCCAAGCCCGGGACCTGAGCCCAGCCGCGTGCTCCCCCGGGCGGGTCACTCGGCTGGGGGCGCCTGCAGGGACCGCGCCTCCGACTCTGCCTGGTGCGGGCGCAGGGGCAGAGCGAAGGAATCGTGGTAAACTGAGAAAAACATCCCCGCCCGGGGTGCGTACGTCCCGAGACGCTCACTTGCCCGTGATTGGCCTCTGCGGACGTAAACAGTCGGACCACGCGGCGAACGTGCCCGGCGCCTCTGCTGGGCGAGACCACGGGACCCTTGGGCGGGGGCGGTGCCTCGCGGAGCTCCGCCCCCGCGTGGCGTAGGCAGGGCTGGCGGGCGGGGGCGGAGCCGGCTCCTCCTCCCGCCCCGGGGCCGGGCTTGGAGGGGCGCTGGAGGAGGGCGGGCGAGATACTCAGCTGGGGACCCAAGGATCCTCCGGTTTTTGCTACTTTTTGAAGCAGCCCCGAAGTCCTCTTTCGTGTCTTTTAGTTGTGCTGTCCTGGCTGCCCCCATGTCCTGCATCCTTTCAGAACGTTGACCTCTCATGGTCATTTTGACTTTGGGGAAGAGCCAGAGGTCCCGGCTTCCAAACCTGGTGAGCAAGGTGGATGAAGACGCACTTCATGTTTTTTATTTGACAGAAATTGCCATAAGCATTTCAATCAATTCAGGACATCGAGGAAGCCACAAAAAGACATGGAAAAGGACTTCCAGAACTGCTTCACAGTGGCAAGAACGATGAGATAAGAGTGTTTAAAGCAAGGGGGAGGATTTTGAGGGTAATTCATGGCACTGTGTTTTTTACTGTAACATTTATTTAACATTCACCATAACTTTTGATGACACCCAGGTCATGCAGGTGGCTCTAGCTTGTAGATTTCCGCTCCTTTGGAGAGGCAGGGGTAAGGTGTGGAAGCCCAGACTCTGGGGTCGGATATAGTTTGCATCTGACTCTGCAAATACTGGTCCTATGACCTTCAACAAGTGACTTACAAGCCGCGAGCTGTAGCTTCACGTGAGAAATGCGATTGTAAGGACGCGTGAATGTTTTCTGTGGCTAGAGAAAGCTATAGCAGTATCCAGTAGGCAGTGGTGCTCAATAAACGGCAGGTGCCTTTCATTGGCAACATTTGGGGCCGGTCTCGGAGAGCAGTTTGAAAACGCGGCTCGTCCTGGAGCTGGAGAGGGCGAGGAGAGCGCGGGCGCCCCCACATGGCGGGCGCGCCGACTACGTCCGCCTTCTAGTGAGGGCGGGCGGAGCGTGGGTTGGGCAAGTGCGCTGTGGTGGGATGAGAACATCTGGACCCTCAGATGATCGCGAAGACCCTCACCCTGATCTGCAGAGGAGTCAGGCGTGTTATCCTAACCTGGGCTTCTTTTTTCTTAGCAGGTTCAGTTTTCCTTGTCATTCGACTCTCTCAGGGCAACTGCAGGAGAGCTTAATGATCCTAGGTCCCCAGGTGCCTAGCAGAGTGACAGCGGTGTGAACAGCTCAAGCCGCACGAGCGCCCCCCCCCCCCCGGAGCCGAGAGCAGCTCCGCGTGGTTTCATTGCTTGACTTCTGAGCCAAACAGGAAGGTTTGTTCTGGGCCATACTTGTCCCACCGAGCACCGGGGCACCCTAGGGTGGGGATTCTTAGCCAGGGGAATGTGAGAAGCTTCCAGAGTTCACGAAGCCCCTAACGTGATGCACGGTGTGTGAGATCTCGGGCTATGCGTCCCAGCCTGTGGAAAGTGGCACCGCTTTCGCGTGTTGGCAGAGAAGTCTCTTAATAAATAGGACATTGACCCAGACTGCAGTGATGAGCTTGGAACACTGAACACAGAGCCCTGCAGCCAGCCTCAGGCCATTCCGCTTGGTAACCTGCGGCGGCCCAAACTTGACAGTGCATCCAGGAAAGGAGAGAGGCTGCCAAGGTCACAGCGTGGATTTCGGAAAACAGCTGGGCCAAGGCACAACGCTGTGCTCCTCAGCGTCCCTGCAAAGCTGTCTTTGGTGCTGTTCCTTTTCAGGGCCGATGGGCCTTCTCCTCATTAGTGGTGCATTTCTCTTCTGGTAGAAGGCATTTAGAATCAAGGCTGGTGACAGATAGGGGTCAAGTGATGTCATTCTCTCTGTGTCCACAAACTGTGTGTGACTAAGAAACAAGCCTGGTTCTAAGGCAGTTCCGAGCAGGCCCTGGACAACACTGGACGGTGTGGAGGGTGGGCTCCAACATGTGTCCTCTGACGGCCGCCACTGGGGAGGGTCTGTTTCCAAGTAGCTGCTCGGAGGGACACTGCCTGTTGGTTGTGCGACCTCTGAAGCATCCCTTGGCCTCACTGCCCCATCACACTACAGCTGCTCCCATGTGGACAGCAGCAGTCCCAAGGCTCTGGAGGGAGCCCCTCGAGTCTCTGAGCCCGAGGTGGTCAGAGGGAGTGGCAGCCACCTTCCTTCGAATGGCGACTTCCTAGGTCCAATCCAGTGAGCCTGGACAGTGTTTCTCTGCCCTCTCTTGACCATCCTCAGTGTGGCAGGTACCTAATGGAGATGACACCACATAACGGGGACACAAAGACAAGCTCACGTTACTCCCCTAGACTGCTTAGGCTCCAGGGGACTTCACAGAGCCCCAGTGCAAGAGATGGCTGACACATGGGGATGCCACATGGTGGGCCGTGGCCAGACGTGGAGTGGAAGATACTTTCAGTGTTCCCACTTTGGGGCACTTTTTTTTGTTTTGTTTGTTTTTGTTTTTTGGGTACCTGGGATGGAACTCAGGACCTTGTGCTTGCAAGGCAGGCGGTGGCACCACTGAGCTGGATCCCTGGCCCTTTGGGGCGCTCTCCCCTCCCCCTCCCCCTGGGATTTTAGGAAGCTATAGCAGAGACTGTTGTGGACCCAGAATCTGCCGCAGGTGTGCACAGAGCAGGGATCCACAGAGGAACCCACCGGCCATTCTGAAGTGGTTAAAAGGCCACTGAGCATCCACCTCCCTAGTAACCATGATCTCCGGCAAATGCCTTTGCCTTGGGTGGGAGCTCAGCTTAGTGATGACCCTCTGGTATTTGTTAGCAAAGAGGAACTGTTAGTTTTTGGTTTTTGTTCTTCTAAAAGTTGAGAGCCAGGTGTGGTGGTGCATGTCTTTAATACCAACCCTCTGAGACGCTGACGGAGAAGGGTCAAAAGTTCAGGCTCAGCCTTGCCCACCTAGCAAATAATGAGAACCTGTCTCAAAAAAAAAAGAAAGTGGGCCGGGGATTTAGCTCAGTGGTTCTGCCACCTGCCATGCAAGCTCAAGGTCCCAAGTTAGATCCCCGGTACCAAAAAAAGAAGACAAATGGGTTGGGGGGATGCAGCCTTTCATGCAAAGCAAGGGTGCGACCTGAAGAGCCATTCCGAATGGCACGAGACGAGTATTCCAAAGTCCCTCCTGCAGGGCTGTCCCCCACCCTTGGTACACAGGCCAGCGTTCGGGGGTCTCCAGTGTCCCCCGAGGGCCCGTGTGTTATCCCCAGGGTGGTGGCCAGGAGGCGGTGCAGCCTCTGCAGGGTCCTCCAGTCACTGTGGGGGGCTCTTCCCTTCAGCTTCCTGGCCATGAGGTGAGCACTTGGCTCTGACACCACTCTGCACCAGGCCCTTCCGGCACCCTCACCAGGTGCCCACAGGGGTGAGTCCACTGGATCTCAGACTGGACCTCCAAAACCGTGAGCCAAAATAACCCTTTTCTTGCTGTAAGTGAATTATATCAGGCACTTTGTTACAGTGATGGAAAGCTGACTGAGGCACTGGGTGTGCCGAGTTCTGGGGGCTCTGAGTTCAGTGAATCTAAACTTATACCGAAAGCACACACCCAGGGGAATCGTCTCCTGCCTATCCCTCTTAATGGCTTTCAAGTCAGGAGGAATTCTCTGCAACTGTGAAACGATCAAACCTCAGTGTCAGCAGGCTGTGTCGCAGCCTGAGGTGACTGTAGGTGCCCAGGGGGTTCACGCAGACCCACACCCACGGGCTGCTTGGTTACCTGCTTCTAGGTCATCTGGTCTAACACTGCTGTCCTGTGCTCCTCACTCCTTCCCCCGGTGCACCCTGGCATCCTGAATGCAGGTGTTTGGTAACAACCCTCATCGGAGTAACAGCCTTCTTCCGGGATGGCTTTGATCCGGAGAAGAACCAGCCAGGGAGCATGGGGCTGAGTCCCCCACTGCGCTGAGGTGCCCATGGTAGCTACATGAGGGTGGAGATCTCCTGGTATCGCGTGGAGTTTTGGTCTGAAAGCTATTGTGAAAGGGAAGTGGCACAAATGTTTTAAAGCAAGGACTTCATCAGACGCCATATGGCTCGGAAGCCATGTGCTTCTTCTCACAGCCAAGACAAGTCCCATAGCTTCCGGTTGGAATCTGTCACTTGATACTCTAGTGATCTACCACGCATCCTTCTACAGAAGCTCAGTTTAATGTTTAAAGGCTTTTCTGACTTCACATAGAAGAAAGTTGAAAGTGGCTGTTTTGAAACATTAAATGAGCCAAATGAGCGGCAGGACCGTTCTCAGGGAGACATCTGCTCCCCATCCCAGCACAGGAAACTGCGGCAGAGGGTGGCCGCAGGACCATCGCTCCTGATACAGGAGACAAAGCCTTGGCCTCATCTCACTGGAGTGAGCACCATGTGCCTCTTCAGGAGTCTGTGTGGGTTGGACCACAAAGGACAGGCAGAGGGGACAGGAGCTCTCGGGGCTACCTGCACGACACACCTTAAAGCAGCATGCAGAGAGCATCCGCCTTGGAGGTAAATGGAACCTCTGAGTCCAGAGGGGAGCCCAAACAATGGCCCCCGCACAGGGCGGCATCTGCAGTCTCCTAACAAGGTGAGGACGAAGGAGCTCAGTCAGAGGTGGGTGCAGCCTTGGCCCAGAGAGTGAAGCCCAGAGGCTACCTCCTTGGTCTCCCACTGGCAGTGGGGCTGGGAAACGCATGCTTGCCAGGCGCCACCACCTGCAGAGGCACCTGTGCATGGGACAGGAAAAAGACATCCTTGGGCCTCCCAGGAGAGACCTGAGGGAGGAGAAGGGACAGAGGGATACAGATAAATTTATTAGTTAAATACTGATTTTACAGCCATTTCACCTTAAGACAATGTTAACAGGTTTGTGGGTTAGGGAGGAATGGGAGGGAGGCCTTTAGGGAGAAAACAGTGTAAATGATGATTAAAACAGAATCTTGCTTCAAAGGTATTCTCTGCTACGGCGAGTTACGCTCCAGGGTGGGGCCGGGCATTTGGGGAAGGGCACGGTGATGCCACAGTCAGCTACAGCTCTGTGGGTGGCAGGGACCAGGAGGAAGTCTTCTTGAGCCTGGCACAGGGGGTGTGAAGGCCACTTCCAGGGTGGGTGCAAGCCACACGTTCCCTCGGCCTCTTTCTTTCCATGAGTTTTGCTTTATTTGCTTGCATTGAATTTATCTTGCAAATGCGCTAGCTCTTGGCCTCCAGGACAGAAGATTTCTTCTGGGAGAAGGATCCAGGCCCATGGTCCTGGCAGGCTCGGAGGCAGGCAGGCAGGAAGGGGTCCTCGGAGCAGGACAGTGCCCCGTGGGTGCCCCTCCAGAGGGACATCAAGGCACAGATGAGCAGTCGCTGAAGTTGCTTTAGCAGGAGAACGCTTTGCTTTTCCCCAGAACCCTCCACGTGTGACGGGTGGACAGAGGAGGTGGGGACAGACCTGAGGTGCTGCTGGGGTACACTGCTGAGCTCTTGTTTGTGCGGGGATTTTCATGTCAGAGGCCCTGGGGTGAAGAGCAGGAGGGAGGGGAAGGCCCTGCCAAGTAGCACCTGGATGGTGCCAGCCCACGCGGTGGCTGACAGCCCAGGAAGTGCTCAGTATCATCAGCGTGGCACCCAGTGTTGTGGAGTTGGGCCTGGTGCTGAAGGGTGCAGGGATGTGCGTGCCCCCAGGGAGTGTTGGGAAGGGCAGGGCAGTCACATCCCGTGCACAGCAGGCAGAGCCCAGTGCTGCGGACACAGTGGAGAAACCACTCCCGGGCCCAGCGGAGGGAGGCAGGGCCGGAGGATGTCCTGTCCTGCTCAGGGCGGAAGTGAGAAAGAGGTGGGCTCCTCCTCTGCTGGGTCAGGGCGAGGTCTCTGTCCTGTTCCCTCCTGGGAAGGCCTGGGAGGAGGTCCAGCGTCCACCTCCCCCAGCTGTCACTGACTTCAAGTTCTTCCCAGCTGTTCTGGAGTCATTCCCAGGTAGCAGGGTGACCCCGGGGGACCCCCAGGTCCCAGGTCCGTGCAGGAACTTCAGGAGGGGAGGATTACGCAGTGATTATGTCCCCGTGACTGTCAGCCAAGACCAGGCTGTTCCAAGAGTCCTGCTTGGAGCTGGCCTGCGGTGACTGGCTGACGGGAGATGTGTAGCCTTGCGGGGACAGCTTCAGGGCCGAGAGGACCGGGTGGATGGAGGGCCCATGGCCAGACACGGCGCTGACCGCGAATGTCTGAAAGGCAGAGAGCAGGATGAGGCCGGGATGCCTGGGGACTCCCCACCATGCAGATGTCCTCAGAGGCTCTGACCCCAGGCCAGGGCACGAGCGCTTCAGTCTCCCCAATCCCCAGGGCTGTGACCCGCTGGGTCTGTGAATATTGTGGCTCGGATGGTCACACGAGACACTATCTACAGTCTCCTCACCAGCTCTGTGAAGAAGGAACCATTCCCACTGCTCGGGTGGGGAGAGCCTGGCATTCCTGTGTCTAAGGGACCAGGTGCTCCCAGGTTTGCTTGACAATAAAAGGCTCATTAGGACACGGCTGCCCTTGATTTCCCATGGAAAGCGATCAGGGCTTTGTCCAATGAAGAGACACTGTGACACCCTGACCCCCAAAGAGGGAGAGGAGTGGAGACAGCACCCTACCATCTTCAAGAGGGGCCCAGGGCACTTCCGGGGCTCCTCAGAACTGGCACCCTCATCAGCAAGCCTGCACTCTGCATCCCCAAGCCTGTGCCTATGCCAGCAGGGTCCTCCTCCCTCTCTCCAAGGCCAAGCCGCCCTGCTGTGGACAGCCCCGTGCCCACCTGTGGTGCAGGGTGTGGCAGTGCTGTCACCTCCCCTCTGCCAGGGTGCCAGCCCCTGGGCTCCTCTCCTGGTCCCAAAGGCCTCGTGGCACAGAGAAGCTGCTAAATTGTGTGTCCCCAGTGTCCCGGTCAGACACACTGAGGGCAGCTCAGCGGCGGGGCCTGAAGCCGCCTGCCCCTCGGCCCTTCCCCGCACCCTGGGGCGCACCTGGGACATGGAGCTGCTGTGGCCATAGTGAGAGGGCAGCCCGGGCTCTGTCTTGATGGGGCGCATCTCCTCACTGCTGCTGCTGGCGGCATTGCTGGAGCTGCTGGAAGCGCTGCTGGTGGGAGGAAGACTCTCGCTGCCCGAAGGACCTGGAACAAGGCAGGGTCAGGACAGGGGCACAGGACGGTGTCACTTGGGACAGCGGGGCCAGGCCCTGTGAAGGGCTCCCTTTCCATCCGGCAGGAGAAGGGCAGGCTCCTCATCAGTGCAGCCAACAGTTCTTAACACTGGGTGGAAGTGCCAGAATTCCAAGGGGCTGTTACACGTGACGGGCTCACGGCCCCCCAGTCCCAGCTCCCTTGAGCCAACATGCTTGAGGATTCAAAACACTCTGGATTTCAAAAAGTGCAAATACCGTATATTGTAAGACCTGTGGTGGCATCTGAGACAACTATCGACAAAATCGATACATTGATGTATCCATAGCAAAAGATGCACGGTCACACTACTTGGAAAGCAGAGGTTATAAATGGCCTGGAGCTGCTGCCAAAGCTGGGTTCCTGGATTTGGGGTGTTGGGGAGGACACTGTGCACCTGAACAAACGGCTGCTTTGCCTGTGACTGCTCTGGGAAGGACTGTGGGTACCCTGGAAGCGGCCGCACTGATGGGAAGTGGGGAAGCAGGAAGAAAGGGGAGGACTGCTGGGGTGAGGAAGAAACCCTAGTAATAAATGTCCTGCCAGAGAAAGTAAGCCATTGTCGGGTCTAGAAGAGTACAGCTTTGATCATGTCCTGGTCCTGGAAATGGGCAATTTATCTGACACTCTCGTGACTTAGATTAGAAGATAACCCCCCCCCCGCCCCCACATCAGCCAAATGATTTTCTCAAATCACTCCTGTCCTCGGGCCTCAGTTTGCTCATTAGAAAGATGGGGCTAATAAGCTGTTGCCCAAGGATATGATCCAGTATTTAGAAAGATTTCCAAGTACAAAGCACTACTTGGCTACAGATCAATCTGTTGGGAATGTGATTAACAGGACCCTGTCCTTCAAAGAGAACTGAAAGGAGGGAGTTCTTGGGGCCACAGCACCAAATCGTGCTCCAACCATGCTCCCCTCTCCTTCAGGCCCATGACTGGTGCAGCCGGATCGCTGCAACAGACAGTAGTTAACACAGTTTGAGCTGAGTCTGCGCAAAAGCTCCTGCTATTCCCCCAAGATGTTACTTTCTCATGGAGTTTTCACTCTGTCCCCAGGAGCCGAGGACGGATGAAGGTATGGTCCTCACCCCTGTGGGGGCCTGACTTGTTCATCTGCTCACAAACAGCTCTTCCCCTCACCTGCTGGTGTCTTCGCTTTATTCAGGTTCTTGGGCTTCCGTTTCCGTGTCTGAATCCCCTCTTTCCGCATAGCAAGAGGCCTGGGAACCTAGAGGGTCACAAGTCAGCAGATATTGTATATTCCACTAGAGTTTGAAACAGGCACACACACACTGCACAACCCTCTGCAAACCTAGGGGCTAGATGGGGTGCAAAGCCTGCGGAGAAAGAAATCACTACTTTAAAAATGTCCCAAGGACCAGAGTATCACACAGCGGCCCAGCACTTGCCTAGCATGCAGGGGCTGCTGGGGTCAGTGCCCAGCGCAGCGGGGAAAATGATGAGGCACCTATGTTACACGGTAGGTGCTTTACCAGACCCTGGTGAAGCAGAGAAGTAAAGAACTGACGACACCCTTCCTTCCTGCTCGAAGTTGTTTGGTGGGAAAGACGGACAGGTAGAAATGACCAGGCTCTGCTGGGTGGGATAGGATATCAGAGAGGAAGCAGTAAACTCCATCCTGGGATGGGGAGGAGACAACAGAAGGCTGCCAAGGAAGGCTTCCTGGAGGAGGCTGCTGCAGACAAGGGCCTGGCATTTTAGGCTGCAGGAACAGCATGGGCGGGAGCCTCCACCGGCCACATGCGGACACTGTACAGACAGAAAGGTGCAGTAATGATTTTGCTGGGAAACAGACATAAGCTGGGGCGGTGCCAGTCGGTGGAGATGCAAAGGCTGCTCTAACAGCTCTGCCTACAGGAGTCTGGGAGGAGCCAATGGGGGACCTGGGTGAGAGGCGAGCATGGGTGATGCCGGAGAGACTGCCCTGTGGGGACACTGTTCTCACTGAACTGCCCGGACTGCGGACACTCGCGCCCCTGAGCCGTCACAGATGGTCCACAGGCAGTGGGGCTGGCGGAGGCCCCCATCCAGGGTGTCCCCAGGGTGGCAGTGCCAGGAGGCTCAGCCTCAAAAGGGACCATGGCCCCCAGTCTCTGGTTCCTGGTAATGGTGTGAGCTCTCTCCGACCCAGTCAGAAGCCAAACCAGCAGGGTCGCCTGATCTTCACCTTGAACTTCCAGAACTGCAAGCTAAATAAACCGTTCCCTTTATCACATTCCTTGCTGCAGATGTTTCATTTCAGTCGCGTGAAGCTAACACAATGAAGATGCAGTATCTCTCTGAGACCCAGCCTTTCATCTTTTTTATATAGGCACAGAAGTGGTATTGCTGGATCATATGGTAATTCTACTTCAGACTTTTTGAGGACATAGTCTTTTTTAAACATGCAAAATATTGCCCTGGAAGTTTCTTTTGCTATTCCCCCTTTTAAAGAACCCAGTTCTTTAGAACAACCATTTTCTTCCTAAATGTTTTTTCCTCTATTTTCGTTACTATAATGAAACAACGAACATCCTTATATACACTTCTTTGTAGAAATAAGTGTATTTGGGCCGGGGATTTAGCTCAGTGGTTCCGCCGCCTGCCCCGCAAACATAAGGACCCAAGTTTGATCCCCGGTACCAAAAAAAAAAAAAAAAGAAGTGTGTTTTTTATGCATATTCATAACTCTTTTAACCATTTGATCATTATAAGAAATCATAAAATATGCATGAGATTAAGTTAATGATTCCTACCACCCCACTACCATTAATCCTATCGCCATGAGGCAAGTGGATTTAACAGTCTGTTATGTCTTTTACATTTTAAAAATTTCTCGAATGCATGTACACATACATTCCTACACATGGAGGTGAGCATGTATTCACCCCTTCTCTGTCCCCCCATCTGTACCAATTTGTGCCTTTAATGCACCCCAAGCCTCAGAAGCAGAGGGTCCAGCTATACATATTATTCTGCAATTTGCCTTTTCATTTTCCAGGTTAACAAATATGGTACATATAACATATAAGTTACTATTTTAAAATTTCTGCCCAATATATTTTTTTTGCTGCCCAATATTCCACATTATGGGGTCTGCCATAATTTATTTGACCATCTCCTACGGGGTTTAAGATTGTTTCTGGGTTATGCCATGACAAACACTGCAGCAAGGAACGGTTGAAATTTCATTGTGTACTGGTGACTAAAAGCTAATTTCTCTTTACTAATCAAAAGGTAAGCGTGCTTTTAACCTTAACACACATGGCTAGGTTAATTCCCTGAAAGAATACATGTAGTAATTAACATACAAATCAATAGTACGGAAGAGGATCCATTGTCCAAAATCCATACCAGTACTCGATTTTATTACTTGTTTTGATTTTTGTCAAATAAATGGAAAACAGGGACTGTTGTGATTGTTTTCTCTTGCATCTCCCCGGTTCTCAGGCGCGGCCCGCCATGCTTGTTTCATGGCTGGGAGGCTTCTGTGAGCTGTGTCTTTTGCCTATTTGGTGAGGCTGGGAGGAGATCAATGCTATTTTCTTAGGTCCCAGGGTCTTTCTGTTTTTTGGTTTGCTTGCTTGCTTTTAGTTTAATTTACATTTGAACAATTAAGATATGATATGGTCCATCTAAAAGGTATAAGGGACGACAGAGTAAAAAAAGGTCCCTCTAGTCCTTACTCCCAAACTTTTTTTTTCTGGCAGTATTGGGACCCAACACAGGGCCTCAGGCATGTGCGGCAAGTTCTTTCGCATGGAAGGCACCCTCAACCACCCCATTTCTTCTGCTAAAGGCACTCGTGCTACCAGTCTCTTACGTAGCCCTCCAGAGGTATTCTAGTGCGGATGAGCAACAGCATGGGAGCTATGTTCTTCCTCTTTGTTTATAAAAATGGTGTCAAGCTATGCATAGTGGTCTATACTCTGCCCTTTAAAAACAGCTCCGTAGGACTGGGGATGGGCTCTATGGTGCCTTGCGCCTGCCTTGCAAGCACAAGGTCCTGAGTTCAATCCTTGGTTCTGCAAAAAAACAAAACAAAAAACCCCAGCTCTATAATGGAGATTGTTCCAAGTCATAACTTAAAGAGCTTTACAGAAGCTCTTTGTATTAAGGAAAGACTGACCCCTTTTCTGGTAGGTGTATATATGGATTTTTACTTTCTTTAGGTGCCATTTTCCATACACTATCATTAAATACAGTATTATCTAATTTTTCTTATATGGCTTAGGAATTTTAAAATTTCCCTAAGAGGTTCTTCTCCCATGTCTAAGGTTATATAAATACTTCCTCTTACATTTTTATAGTTTTATGGTCTTGTATTTTTATTGTGTTTATTTTACTGTCTACTATTTTCATTGTGGTATTTTACTGTCTGGCATTTTCAATGTGGTATATTATTGTCTAACATTTTCATTTTATTTGAAAGACTTTTATGGCTAAGGTCTTTGAATCACCTAAATTGACTTTTGTTTAAGGTAGCTGTGGAAGTCATGGTTTGCTTGTTTTCCAGATGAACAGCCAATTCTGTCAATGCATTTTGTTTTGTTTTCTTTTGTTTCTTGAGACAGGGTCTCCCTATATAGTTCAGGCCAGCCTCAAACTCACTATGTAGCCCAGGCTGGTCTCGAACTCTCAGCAATCCTCTTGCCCCCACCTTCGAGTGCTGGGGTCACAGGTGTGAGCCACCGTGCCCAGCAATGCGTTTATTCTTTTTTTTTTTTCTTTTTCTTTTCTTTTTTTGGTACTGGGGATGGAACTCAGGCCCTTATGCTTTCGAGGCAGGCGTGGTGCCACTGAGCTAAGTCCCCAGCCCCGCAATGCATTTATTCTTAAACTGTCATTTTATCCATCGAATGAAAATGTCACCTTGGTTATACCTCATGCTCCAATATACTTAACATATGTGTATTCTCCTCATCTGTAAAGTGGGAATTCAAATGTGAGCTAGACCGGCAAAGTCCCTAAGATTCCCTTGAAATCTAAGTGTCTTTGTTAAGAACGGGAAAAAAGCCTTCTGAAGTAAGGAAGACAAGGGGGAATTCAGCGAGGCTGGGGCGACCCAGCGAAGGAGCTCGACCCCAGGAGGCCGGGGCGGGCGGGGCGTGTCACTCACCCCGTGCAGCTTCATGTAGAGGCCGCAGGCGTTGCACACCGGCTCGCCCTCGGCGTTGCGGCGCCACAGCGTGGTCGTGGTGGTCTGGCAGTTGGCACAGGACAGGCCCACTCGGCGGGAGGCGGACTGCAATACAGGAAGTGACCCTTCCATGCCCGCGGGGAGGGCCCCTGGCGGCCGGCCGTGACGGCCCCGTGTGGCCTCGCACCCAGAGCCAGCACCAGCTGCTCAGTCTTCCTGGGCCGTGGGATTTATGAACTGAGCAGTTAAAACGAGACGGCTGGCCTTCCTCAGGGCCCGAGGGAGGGAGGAGGCTTTCAGGACACCGCGGCCTGTGAACCAGGAAGTCGGGCTCCCCACGGAGCCTGGGTCCGACCGGCCCGGACGTCCCGTCTGCGAGCTCACCGTTGCTTCCTTCCGCACTGGCCCGGCTGGACTGCATGGCCCGCACATCCTTAGAGCTCAGGTCACGCTCCCGCCCCACCCAGGGGCCCCTCAGCCCACGGGAGTGTTCGGATCCCACCCCGGAGACCCCCTCGCCGCGAGCAGGGAGCGCGTGGCACCCGGGCCGCCGGGCTCCGCTTACCAGCCGGCGCTGCGGCTTGATGAGGGGCCGGTTGATGCCGTTCATCTTGTGGTAGAGGCCGCAGGCGTTGCACAGGTAGTGCCCCGTCCCGTCCCGCCTCCACAGCGGGGTGGACATGGCGCCGCAGTTGACACACTCCCTGCCTTCCGAGAAGTCGTCAAACATGTCTGCTGGCGGGGAAGAGGAGAGGACCGAGGATTACTGCCGCCGCTTCGGCTGCCCAGGGCCGTGGCCAGAGGACGTCGACGCCGCCAGACGCGCAGGCTCCCGAGAGGAAAGGCAGAGCCGCCCGCTGCTGGGCTGGGAGGGGCAGCTGGTTTCAGTCTGGACTCTTGGAGCCCCAGCCCCGAGGCCGCCCTGAGCAGACAGCCTTCGTGTGTTACATGTTTGCCGAGCTGCGGTCAAACTGCGATGTTTCTTTTTTATTTAAAGAAAAATAAAACAAACTTCATAACAAAATAATAAGAGAATGACAACAGTTAATACACCGTGTATCGTTATCTTCAAAGTAGTTACGCAGAGTGTAAGACATCAACCACAAAGATTCTCTTACAAAGAAGAAACAAAAGATAATGCTGCAAACCCCCCCCCGCCTTTTTTTAATTTTTTGAGACAGGGTCTCACTATGTAGTTCAGGCTCTTGGACTCAGGGTGATCCTCCTGCTTCAGCCTCCCAAGTGCTGGGACTACAGGCGTGTGCCACCACACCCAGCTTGGTTCCAGACTTTCTTTTCAATAAACTAAGAGAAAGTAGCAGTACAAATCAGCGCATGTATTAAAATATTTTTAAACAACGGAACAGGTAATTGGGGGAACCATCTGGACTTCTCCCCAGTCAAAAAATGGGCAACCGAAATGAACAGGCCTTTCTCAGAAGAAGTACAAATGGCCAACAAATACATACACAAAACAATGTTCAACTCACTGGCCCTTAGAGAAATCCAATCCAACTGTATAATTGTGAGCCTGTCTTTTTGTCCTTAATACCAAAGTGTTTTCCTACATTAGAAAAAATGTTTCCTGCAACACTAGGGATTGAACCTAGGACCTTGCACATGCTAGGTCCCGTGTCGCACCCACACTGAGCTTGTGACGTCACATTCTCAGCCCCTGGGCTATCTGTTACCTACTGTCATTCAATAATCTTTATCCAGTTCCGATTTTTGCTTTGAAAATACTGTTCATTTTGTACGTAAATCTGTATGTTTCTGGTTATTGGTAGAAGCAGGATTTCTAGGTCAAAGGGGCTAGATTACTTATTATTAATGTGTTCGTTTATTTGTGGAACTGGGGATTGAAGCAGGGCCTCACGTATGTTAGGCAAGCACTCCACCACTGAGCTACAATTGCACTCTTCCTAGTCAGGGTCTTGCCAATTGTTCAGGCTGGCCTCAAACACGTGATCCTCCTGCTTCAGCCTGGAGTGAAGGGCATGTGTCACTACACCCAGCGATTTATGTCCTTGACAATTTCAGAGTGCCTTGCAAAAAATGTTTAATTCCCTCATTTTCTCTACTTTCCTATATCTGCATGATCTGCTGTATCGTCGACATTTTCCCTGGCTCACTGGGACAGAGAGATACACATTATAAGCAGTGGCACGCTGGTGTTGTTCAGCTGCAAGCATTTGCCTTCCACGCTGCAGAACGCCGCCAGTGCCTGTCCTCCCTCCCTCACTACCCCTTCCCTTCCACGTGGGCAGTGTTCCGGAAGGCAGATTCCTCGAGTGCCTTTCTCACTGCCCGGGCCACTCATTCCCCTGATCTACACAAAGCCTGACTTGGAACTCCCCAAAGTCTCCGACTCCAAGCTCCCTCAATTTTCTGTCCCTAATTAAACACAGCCACCTCTGTCCACAGACTGCTCTTGCTCTTCACCGGAAGCAAGGGTCGCTTGTCTCCAGCGAGTTGGAGCTCATCCTGGGGCAGGGTTTTAAAGCACTATCCTCCTCCGATCCCTAGCCAGGGCTCAGCTGCAGTTTTACTAGTTCAGAGGCCCCGCTCCCAGCTCCCAGCTCTAAGGGAATGTGGGCCAGAGGAGGATGGGGGGCCTCCCCCCAACTCTGAGTACACAAACAGTCACTTGCACCTGCAAACAGGTAGCTGGGTGTCCGCAGCAGGTAAACAGTGTGCAGGTGTGAGAGGCTGTTTGCTCAGGCCAGGCGGCCAAGCACAGCCGTCACACGTCACACGAAAGGCTATTTTTATTCCTGGGTCACACTGAGGCCCCCCGCCAAGGTCACTTGCCCTCAGCAGTGACTGCTGTCCAGGGCTTCTCCCACCTGCACCTCCATGACAAGCACGATGTCCCTCCACAGCCCTTGCCTCTGGCCTGTAGGCCCCGCTCCTCTGCTCCAGGCCCTCCTACAGGGACCTAGAAAGGCCAGGAGTTCGTGGGACTTAGACGGCGCCTCCCTCACCAGGAGAGTGGCAACGTTGGCATTTGGTTTGCCATGAGCACTAGATGGCACTACAGCCCCAGAATTGAACTGAGACACGGCATTCTGGCTTGAATTATGCTTGGGGATGGAAGACTATTTTTTGATTGTCTTTCCAGTTTAACCCTAGTCCAACCCTTTTGTTCTGTTTTTCTTTATTACAAAAACCCCCATATTCAGAAAGATGCAGAAAATAAAACAAATTCTTATTCGACCATTATCCAGCTTCCAACAGTTTGTGGCCGATCTTGTGTCTTCTCTGTCTCTGCCCACTTCCCATCCTGTCCTGTGTTACGGAAGAAAACGGCAGACTTTCGGACCACCACCATGACCATCTCCGTCTACTGCTCACTCTCCTCCTTTTGGAGACAAGCCCGCCAGCTTCCTTCCTAGTTCTGGTCTGTTTCAACTCTATGGTCCAAAACCTCATAGGGAGTCCCTCTTTTTCACAGGAAGATTCCCCTTTCCCTCCACACTTAGTGCTTCACAGGTGGGGACAGAAGCCTAGGATGTGTCCCCTCTGCTGGTCACCCTCTTCTGTTGCCTCCAGAGCCCAACACCAGGGTTTGCCTCTAAGAGCAGGTTACACACAAGCACCTATTTTGCCGTCCAGCTAGAGTCACTGGAGGTTGGCAAGCACACATTTGTTACCCACAAACACTGTATTTACAGAACAAGAGCTACGTAGGCAGGCCAAAAGGTCATGGGAGCTAGGTCGGCGTCTCGCTCTTGGAATGCGAAGGCTTCCCTGGGCCAGGTAAACCTGCACAGCAAGGAGTAACAGTACTGCCCAGCCCCTTTCGGAACACAAACTCAGCTGAGCTGGGGCCCGGAGGAGGCGGATGCTGCGGGGTAGGATCGGAAGTGTGGAAGTCCAACCCAGATGGAAGCCCAACCAGAGAGAAGGGCCAGGCGTTAAACAGCAGCCAAAGGAAGCTGACAGATGGGCGCAAAGGCCAGGCTTCCCCGAGGGACCCAGGCCCACACATCTCCCCACGACCACTTCCACGTCCAGCTCCGGTGCTGCAGACATTTCCATTTCTTCTGCCATAAAATCTTGCTATCCAACAAATTCAATGAAATGTTACACAAAAAATTTAAGTGATTATTACAAAGGCAATGTAACCAGAGGAAATGCTTATCCTATAATGATAAATTGAGAACCATATCACAGAAAAGTCATCTACGCTGTGAAGGCAGCCAAGGCTACCAGAAAGAAGCAACTTCTTTGACCAGCTAAATTGTATGGACTTTTCTTCTTAAGAAACAGCACCCCATAATGGAGTAATTGCCCGTTTTTAAACATTTGATAAAAACAAGAAATCTAGTCACCTCAAAGCAACTGCCCATCCACAATAGGGAAAGGGAAAACTTTACCCTCTTACATCTGAGGCAGATGTACTATATCATCCTGAGCTAAACGTGGAGATAATAAAGTGCAGACCCTGCTGCCTAGCTGGGCCTAGTGGCGCACACCTATGATCCCAGCTACTTGGGAGGCTAAGGCGGAAGGATTTCAAATTTGAGGCCAACCTGGGCAACACAATGAGGCCCTGTCCTAAGATGAAGCCCCACTGTTTAGAGGAAGGGGTGACAGGCTCTGAGCCCCAAACCAGCACTAACGTCTGCTGTGACCCTTGGTGACAACCACTTCCTTCTCCTCCACAGGAAAGGAGGTGGGCAGAGTGTCCCAGATCACATGAAGGCACAGCCAGGCTCTGACTGGTGACAGCCCACCACCCAGTGCTGGATGTGGGGGGTTGTCCACCTGGTGGGGCAGCAGTGGAGCCCACCCGGGAAGTAGGTGGGCATCACCCCACACTGGGAGGAAAGACTCCTAATAATAGTTGTAAAACACTCTGCAAATGAGAGGGAAAACTTACAACAATGGCCATAGAGTGCTTCACAAACACCGAGCGAGATAAAGATGATGGATTATTGTTAGGAGGCAGGGGCGGGAGGCAGATGGAGAGCAGGGACAAACCTTGGTGCCTGATTATTGGGGAGGGCCGAGGGCAGATAAAAGCGCTAGGAGATTCGGGAATCTGACCTTTTCACAAGCCATGGGGGCCATCCTCAGGATCCTACGCGACTCCCACAGTTGACCGATTGGAGGCTGCAGGCCAGAGCCAACCCAAGCAAGGCTCCAAGGGGCTCCCCATGGGAAGCATTAATCAGTGATTATTTTAGCAATCAAAAGCACAGAATGAAATGTGTCCTAATCCTAAGAATGTGGATCGAGCTCCTACTGCTATGCCATGCCCTCCTTTAGATTATTCTTTTAGGGCCGAGGGTGTAGCTCAGTGGTAGAATGTTTGCCTAGCGTGTGGGAGGCCCTGGGCTCCATCCCCAGCAACACACACACATACATACACACACACACACACACGCACACAGAAAAGAAAAAAAATAATTTTTGAGAGGGCACAAGTCCAGCTTTCTGAAGTAGGATGGACATTCCCAGGAATCACGGAAGATTGCTCCACCCAGGTGCTGGGAAGGAAACCGAGGCCAGGAGTTGGAAGATCTCAGCCTTGCCTTGCCTGCTGAGGAATGACGCAATCCCAGGCCTGGCTCGACCTCTCCTCGACCTCCTCCATCCATCTTGGGGACCCACCCACCTCACCAGGCAAGGCTGGGAGAAGGATATGTGGGGGGGAAGCAGGGGGAAGGGGGATGCTAGGGGCCAGGGCCAGAGCTGGCATTGCTTTCCGGGCACTGCCCAGAGCGGGA